ACAATTGTTGTATGTATGGATTGTGATAAGAGTTGTATGAGCCCCTAATAAAATGATTTTTAAAATGTTTATGTTAGCCCTGGCCTCAAAATCACTCCCCCCACCCCCCACCCCCCGCCAGGACACAAAAGTATCCTTTTGGTGTAGGTACCCTAATGAGTCTAAAAACTTGTCTTTGGCCATCCACCAACCATAGAGAGGTTGAACCAGGCTTTGTAGGGACCTCTGGTGGAGTGGTGGGCTATAGGTTGGGTGGCTAGTAGGAAGTCAACAGTGCAAAACTATCAGCTGTTCTGTGGGCGAAAGATGTCGCTTTCGACTTCACAGCCTTCTCTGACAATCTCAGAAGTCCACAGGGGAAGTTCTACTCTCTACTCTAGGACTGCTATCAGTTGCAATGGATTCAATGGCATTCAAGGTTTTTAAATTTAAAAAAATTATTGACATATAATTCACATATAATTCCATTCAATAGGTCAATCATATTAAGAAGAGCTGTGCAATCACCACCGCAATCCCTTTTAGGATATTTCCTTCATTCTTGTAGTTATTGTTGATAGTCCCTCATTCCCCCAGCCGCTTCACCTTCTGTAATTATTAAACTAATTACTGACTCTATCCTGGATTTCATGGACAGAAAAACATATAAAATAAAATCCAGAAACAGACAAAACCCAACAGCAATGACCGAAATAGAACAGAGAAAACCTTTAATCAAAAAGAAAGCAGAAAATATTAAAAACTGTAAAAAGGCAAAAGGGGCCAAAAGGAAAATCAAATGATGAGGTGTTGCAGGTTTACTAATGGAACCAAACATCCTGACTTCCCAATGCTTTCTGTCTGAGAGCAAGGCTATTCCCAGCTGTGGATGGCGATCAGAGACTTCACCTTCATGGGGGAAGTGCTAATGGATTTTGGATTTCAACTATCATCTGTACCCTTTTGCAAATTGGGTGTTCAGAATTTGAGCTCTGTTATGGTTTCCTCCTATGGATTTGGATTTTATTATTTATAACCTTTGGATCATGCAGGTATGTGTGCTTCTTCTGTGTGAACTTTGTCAACCCCTCACTTACATGGCTACTTGTGTTGAGATGATCCTTTAAGATCCAGTGCTATTCTTTCTGATAGCTGGGCACCATCTGATTTTTTTCTTCACCACGCTTTGCTATAGCACCTGTATCTTCAGTGATCTTTCCATGAGGGCAAGTATAGAGTAGGGCATGTCTTAAGAACTTATTGTTCTTAAATTAGGGCTATGATTAAGTATGAGCCTAAAGTCCTATCATATATCCATGGTTTATATATGTCCCAGGTTCATTTTAGAGACTGCAGCATCATTTTATTGGAGAACATTTATTGGAGAACATGGGGCATAAGATAATTCTATTGATAGTATCAATAGTTTTACCAGTGCTGTGGAATTTAAATTTCAGTTGAGAAAAGCATTTTTTTTTTTTTGATGTATGAACTGGAATCTCATAGCAGTATTTTTTAACTTCCCTTTCTGTTCTCACAATGAGTGCTTATGATGTGTTGGACATTAAATTTCGGTACTGCTGCGAACAAAGAATTCTAGCTTCATTATTGAGGATGCCAATATTCCACGAATAATGTCAAGCATGAAGGCAGAAATCCCTAGGTTCTAAAAGTGCTGACAACTTGAAATATAGTTTAGGATCAGGTCGGGTTGTATTCAGCTTTTATCAGTAAGTAGGAAGTGATATTCAAAACGGGAAAGATCAAGCCATCTGAGCAGCCTGTGAAATCTGTAAAACAGAAATCACTAGTAGGCAGAAAAGTAGCTCCTAAGAGTTGAATGTTCTACTGTTGTGGGTTTTGGGCACATTAGCACCTTAGAATAATATTGAGTCACAGTTGATGTTGTATAGATGCCTAGATGAATTTCCCCAAGGTTGTATGTATGCAAATTCTATTAAATTGTAATAATTCTCAAAAATTCCAATAAGTTATATATTTTATTTCATTAAATAGCCAAGAATTGGATTTATACGGTTTTCCATTTGAAGATATTATATTTTGACCTTTAGATAAGAAGAAACTAATGATAATATTCCATCAGAACAAGTAGCCTATCTAGTGCAATAATATGACAGACAGACATGAGTAACAGTGCATAAATCCAACTTGAATTATCATCCTTACTGCCTCTAGATTTGCATCTACTGTTCCTTCCATTGCCAGGCCAATTAGAATTTTATCCCTTGAACCAGCTTCATCCATGAAACCAAATGACCTTTATCTTACTGGATCCAGTCATACTTCCTTTATAGTTTTATTATTTGCCCTCTCTGCACTCTTTGATAAAGTTGACCATAACTATATGGAGGGCAGGAGTGAGGACAATCTTCTCTGGGATTTCTGTATTACTAAGTCATTGTACTACTTAATAATAAATATACTGAGGGGTGAGATTGAAAGACTACTCTCTCCCATTTACTTGTTATTATGCACTTAGGGTATATGAAGAATTTCCGAATGCTTAAAATTGAATCTAGCTATTCTTTTAGGTACTTCCCAGCTATAGAATGTAAGGGTATTTTTAACTTCCCTGTAGGGGTAACTTTTTAGAACAGTTTTGAGATTTATCTCTATTGTTCACGAAAGACCAGCCATGGATAATAAAGTCATTCGTATCTTATTAAAAGCAACTTGGAAGATTTCCCATCAATTTAAAGGGATAAACACATTTTGGGTTATAGATATATGGGTGTGTGTGTGAGGTAGGAGGAGGAATGGGATTGAGATAGTCCCAGATTTGTCAAAGAGGAGGAAAAGAATGAACACACACACCCAGTAATCATTGATCCATATTGGCAAGTGCTAGGAGCTAAAAACAAAGTGGTTTGTGATCGCGAGGAAAGGGCCAGAGACTGTGCTTCGAGCACGGTGTTTTGCTGGCAGGCTGCAGAGTCTGTGCAGGAGTATCACAGACTCCAGAAAACAAGATGCTTGTCATTTCATGCCAGAGTCTTTTTATTTCATAGAATTAAAAGAAGAAGCTTCGAGTTAGATAGGACCCTTGATTGGTAATGGTTCTATGATTTCTCACCCCAGGGGAGTTAGACTCAAAACTGGACTCATGTTCCGAATTCTCTGCACGGCAGCTCTCTGATTAGCTCTTGCCTATCTACCTCTTGACTTAAGTGCCTGCATATATCGTATTGCCTCTATGGGCATGTGGCTGAAGGGCTGCAGTAAATGTGCTGATTTAATTCAAGTTAGTCACATACAAGCTGGTAGTAGACTAAAGTGCCACTATCATAATTCTTGACCCTAAATCTGGCTTGATTTTACCTTCTAGAAAACAGAAACTGTTAATAAGCTTAGTGCTCAGATCTGCCAATGAGCAAATTATTTAGCTGTTCCTTCCTCTGTGGGAAAATGAAAGAATGCTCTGCTTGTTGTCTAGAGAAAATCTGTCTCCATTTATTTTCTCTTAGCCTTCTCCACACATTCCTCCTATGGATTAGCCCCCGTTGTTGCACTTTTGGCAGTTGAATTAAAACAACAACAACAAATTACTTAATTGTTGTCAGCATTATTGCAGCTATGCTCTCAGAAATCAAGGCTTTAATGCTAAAAATGGGTGTAATGCCAATTGTGTCTCTTTGAAGGATATTTTCATAAAAATTATTCAGAATACTTACGTCAACAATCAAGAAATCCAGCCAGCACCAGGCATTAGTGAAATATGTTTGAAATCCATAGGCTACCCACTTGAGAAGCATTTCCAGAATGAATATATAAGTGAAGACCTTGTCTGCATATTCCAGCATGGTTTTGATAGTCTTTCGCTGTTCAATGTATATATCTTCAAAAGCCTGTCGATCAAAAATACTTTTTTATTTTAATTAACTGTGTGCCTACCCCAAGCCTCTGATACAATTGTTTACAGAGCACAAAGCAGTAATTTAACGAATACTGGGTAATAGCAATCAAATTTTGATAAACACCACAAAATGTATAAAAATGATGAAAACAGTGGCAAAATATTGGCATGAAAATGTCAGTGTTTTTTATTCGCTTTACAAATTGGTATAACTCTATAACATGATATTTAAGCATATTTTTTTCCGTCTGTCTTTCCCTCCAAAGTCTGTATCTCAATTACTGCTCCAAACACATGTTTTAGGGAATTATGAACTCAGAGGATGATCAGAGATTCTACTAATGAGGGATAATATTGGTCTATTCCAAGAGTAAGGTCTATGATTTTATGAATGGTCTGGATTTTTTGATAAAATAAGTTGATTAGCTGGGAAGAAAAGAAAGCACATTTTGATTTCATAAATTTTGTTGATAGGATTGACTGAGGGAAACTGGGTGGTCTTTGACAAGGAAGGAGCCGTAGATAGAGAATGTGCAAATGGTCGCCTCGGTGAAGGAAACACCTGCTAGCTGAACACCAGATGAAAGTACCCTCTGGCCATTTCATTGGCCGCATTCGCCAGTACGGAACTCTGCCTAAACTCTTGGCTGCCAAGCTTCACAAGGCATGCATGTACTTTTCCTTTATATTCTTAAATTCTTCTGGTATTGTTGGGTGGTAATCTACTTCACTAGAATAAGATTCTTTCCAACGTCCAAAATCCTCAAAACTGGACCAACAGGTAACATCATGATACAGAGACAAAAGTCGAGGTTGTCAAGGATGTGGTCCTACTTGGATCCACAATCCATACTCATGGAAGCAGCAGTGAAGCTGCATAAGATCTCTTTAGAGTACTGAAAAGCAAGGATGTTACTTTGAAGATGAAGGTGTGCCTGACCCAAGCCACGGTATTTACCATCGTCTCACAAACAAGTGAAAGTCAGACATTGAGTAAGGAAGACAGCAAGAATCGATGCATTTGCTGCCACTATCAATTTCAATACGTTCTCTTTCTTCTTGAACTCTTTGATATCAGCTCCCCTTTATCCCTGCCCCCCAGGAACCCTTATTGTTATATTATATATTATTATTATTATTTGTCGTATCTTACATCATCCCATATATCTGTTCACTTGCAATTCTGTTATTCATTCCCCTTGAGTAGAATTGTACAGTCATCATTGCTGTCAGCTCCCCCTTTCCCCCTTCCCCACCCCCACCTTTGCTTGTCCCCTCAGGGAATCATTAATCCTATTACTGTTTCTAAAGGGTTGTCTCTCTTGGCTTCCATGTATCCGTCGTTCTTAAAAATACAAATGAACATATGTAGGTCTAACAAGGTTAATGTGGTAAAACAAAGACCATAATAGTAAGGGGAGGAAATATTAAAAACACTAGAGGATAGTTATATGTTTCATCAGTGCTATCCTGCTTCCTAGATTTATCATCCCTTTCATGTGGCTCTTCTGTAGGGACTGTCCAATTATCTTACAGGTGGGCTTTGTGTCTCCACTTTGTCCACCCTTCTTTCCATCAATTTGATGGTTTTTGATCCCTCTGCCCCTTGACACCTCACGATGACACAGGTTGGTGTACTTCTTCATTGTGGGCTTAGTTGGTTCCCTGCTAGATGACTGCTTTTTTAACTTCAAGCCTTTAAGACCCCAGATGCTATATCATTTCATAGCCGGGCACCATCAGCTTTCTTCATCACATTTGTTTATGCACCCATTTGTCTTCAGGCTTCAGTGATTGTGTTGGGAAGGTGGATATCATACCGTGGTGCATTATTAGAACAAACCGTTCTTATACGTGGGTAATATTTCAGTAGAAGTCCCAAATCCACCTGCTTCCTGTTGTATCACATATATATACATACATAGACAAGTACACCTATCTTTATATATATATTTACATGTTTGTACAATCATGCTTGCTCTAATTGAAATACAGATTGTTACAATATTTGTAAGAGCCCCCAACAAAATGATTAATAATAACAACAACAAAAAAAAAGAATATAATGAGTAGCAAAAACCCTGGGGAAAACACACACACACACACACACACACACACAAAAGAATCAATACATTTGAATTGTAGTGCTGGCAAAGAAGATGGAAAGGACCATAGACTTCCAAAAGGACAAACAAGATTGTCTTGGAAAAAGTACAGCTAGAGTGCCCCTAAGAGGGAAGGATGGTGAGACTTCCTCTTACACACTTTGGACATGTTGTCAGGAGAGACTGGTCCCTGGAGAAGGACATCATGCTGGGGAAAGTGCAGGGGCTGTGAAAGAGAGGGAGGCCCTCGACAAGATGGATGGACACCATGGCTGCAACCATGGCCTCACTTTGTGAGAATAGTGCAGGACCCAGCGGTGCTTCATTCTCTTGGGCACAGGGTCACTATTGGTCAGAGCTGGGGGGTGCCCAACAAAAACCACCAACATGCATGTCACTTACCAGTGCCCCACTGCTGAGGAGGATCATGAAGACAATGAAGGTTTCAAACCAGTTGTGTTCCACAATGCTGTAGCACGTTTTCCGAAGATTCCACCATATTTTCCCTTTGCCTTCTTCTATATTTACTTGACAAAATGGAAACTTTTTAATGCATCCTAAAATATTAATATAAAAAAGTAGGGAAATATATTTTAATATTAGTGGGCAAAACAATCTTTCCTTCTTAGGTTGAACATTTTATAGGACAACTTGCTACTCATTGCCTATGCTCCTCAGTCTCCCTGCTCACAGAACGAATTATTCCTAGACTTGTATGTTCAGCCAGCCACCTAGTGGGCACGGGTTTACTTTAGCCAGCATATTTTGGGGTTAAATGGATTTATTCTTCAAGATTGTATCTGTATTTTTCTCCTGGTTACTGATGGAATCAGGTTCCAGATGTATCACTTAGATTTGGGCCCAAACTATGTATTCTTCACATTTTTATGGGCATCTGGAGTTTTATTCCCTTTTCCTCACATACAAAAAATCTCCTTCTCTTCCCAGGTATCAGCCACTGTCAATGCCCCCCAGCTGATTTATTTCCAGTCTCCCTGCTTTCCTTCGTAACACCTATGACTCATCTCATCAGTCAGTACCTTATTCCTCTGTGCTCCTCCTCTTAGCTTTCATATTATTTATAACTTCCATCCACTCTTCTGCTCTCTTTGAACTATGACTCATTATATTAAATCATTCACATCAAATCAGCAAATCTGTACTGATGGATGTGCAAGACGTTGTACTGGTCACTGTGAGAGCAACTACAGGTCTCCCTGGCAAGGCTCTAAAACCACCTATTTCCCCAAACAGCTCTGGACATAGAACAGACAAACCACATTTGAAACTGTAAGGGTCAAGTTTGAATTATTGTAACATCTATAAATTAAAGCACTTCATTGCCAATAAGGTCAGAAGATATAAAAGTGATAACATGGCAATCTCCATTTGTCTCAGACTGTTCAGATCCCCACATTGTGGGAAGTGGGGGGGGAAAAAGACTTAACATTTGCTAAAGTGTCCAGGCACAGCAACTGATGTAGTATAATATGGAAATACAGGCAGACAAAGAGGGAAACAAAGATCAGCATAACTTTACCACTTATTTTAAAGGAAGTCTGTACAGTCTGTTTAAGGACTGAGGGGCATTGCATCGAATCTGATCAGTTTGTTTACCTTCTGTAAAACACGCTTCCGGTTTGAGATCTTCCTCGGGCTCAGTTTCTGCTTGTTCACCTTCGCGGGGCGGAGCCACATCTACTGTGCTTCCTTCAGACGAACTGGTTGCATTGAGTTTCTAGAAACAAAATCCCATTGCTACGATGTGATTTCTCGCTCTTTTATTTTGAAGCTAATTTGGACAGCTCTGTCATAGTGTGGAAAGATGGTCATGGCAGCATTTGACATGATTCACATCACTGACAATTATGTGCTAATAGTTTACCACAATTAAAGTCCCACTATTTAAAATAATATAACTGTTGACCTGATTTATACAGACAATTTATAATATTAAGGTTGGACAGTATTCAGTGTAGGTAATTTAGAAAGGATGGATTATGCTAATTTAGTTGTTTGATGACCTCTCTTTGTACATGAATGCCATACCATAATGTTGTTATAAATTGGTACCTAGACAAAACTGAGTTTGATAAAAATTTGATATGCTGACATCTACTACTGATTATATTAATTAAAAGACATCAGATCAAATCATAATTTCCACCTCTTCAGATGGAAATTTTTAGAGGGCAAAGAGCATGACCAGCTGTTTCTAAGTATTGTCCATGTTTCTGTAATTTCAGAAAGGAAGAGCAGCACGTTGCCATCGGTCACAGTCATTATTTTTTAACTTTGAGTTATATTTTTCTCTCGCTTACATAATTCTCTTACTTTACTAGCAGCAAAATGATGGATCTCCTTTCTTTCTTTCTTTTTTTAAACCCCCGAAATGAACTTGATACTTGACAAAGAACTCTAAGTGAAATGGAAATTTCTTCATAAATGGCATTGTCTGGAATCTGTAGAGATGTTCCTTAGGAACACATTTTGAATTCAATATGTTCTCAGGCTGTGGATTTTTCCTTTAAATAAATCATGGTGACACGCCACATGGCTGGAAAGAGCCACTTTAATGGTACAAGGATAAGTATCTAATAAGAGCTCTGAGAGCACCTGGGAAGACATGAATGTGCAATGCTTTATGAAAGCCGATGCAAACACATGACACATAGCACAACCTAAGTGATGTCAAGCTTTTGGGCATGGACATGTTAGTGGTCTTAAAGACCCCACTGATTTCAGTAACTGAGCGGCAGTGTGACTCTGCCTTCATATTCTGAAAGAGTATATTATTCAGAAATGTCTAAATGACTTCCTAAACCCAAGTACATTGGGGGTGGGGGTGGGGGGGAGGGTTGAAACTGGCTCAAAATCCCTGATTTACTGACATCATAACGAAATATCACTTAATATTTTAGAATGTGAACCAAATAGCATCAAGATGATCCCTTCTACGTTGTGACCTTTAGGGTGACATTAACCATGTCCAACTAAATATATGAGGAAGATTCATTTATGTCACAATATAAATCTGTAATCAGCCCCTCTTGTTCTTGAGTATGCTAGACAGAGAACTAAGCCCATGCGTTTTGGTTGATGGTAGTCAGGGTTCTACCATTAAATTCCTTTAGTCCTTGGAGAAGTAGGACAGCTACACATTTTTCTTCTCTTGGGTTTTCCCTCTTTTTACAGCCAGAATACCTTTATTATTTTAAGAAAGACCAAGGGAAGCTACTGTGGGATATAACGTGGTAGCTTCTGGTAGAACCAAGAACATACTGTATGATTGGGCTCAGCAATGATTCTTCTCTTCCGAGTTCACTCGTGTTTTCTGCACTGGATACTGTGACTTGTGAGGAGTGGCGCTATCATGTCCACTGCACAAATCAGTATGAGTAAAACACACTGCTATTTGGTGTTTAGGTACCAGAAGATCTCTTTTTGGTTTTTCTTTTTCCTTTCTCTTTCTTCTTCTTGCTTAATCCAAGGTCAGTAACTTCCCAGCCTGAATCACAGTCCACCTCCTTCATGAAACCTTTCTTTCTTGACCAATTTCTCCACCTTGCTTCCCTGATAAATTTTACAGTGTGTCTAGTTGATAGTATGTAACTACATAGTCTTAAACACACACATACACACACAAAAAATAAGGGACTTCAAAAAGGGAGCTAAAAGGTAATGGCATTTTTCCATGAGCTTTTGAATCTTCCTCGTGTACCCTCCTCTCCCCCTCCCCATACACACACACATAGGTACTTCAAATACACCATCTCCACAGGAAAAAATGAGGTGGTTTGCTCCTGTACAGATCTTTAAGTCTAGGAAACCCATGTAGGGTTTCTATGAGCCAACAGTGGGATTGGTCAGTCTGGCTGGTTCATGTAGTAGTTGAGGCCTTGGTTGCTAACCAAAAGGCTGGCAGTTCGAACTCACCAGCCTTTCTGTGGGAGAAAGATGTGGCAGTTTGCTTCTGTAAAGATTATAACCTGGGAGACCATATGGTTCCACTCTGTTCTGTAAGGCTACTAAGAGTCAGGATCTACTTGATGGTAATGGGTTGTCTCCATGCTTACATTTACATACCACTGATGTACAAATGCACACATGTATTCACATATATGTGCACATATACATATACACATATGTATACATATACATACATAGAAGAGGGAGCATGAAAACTTTTGTGGATGAATGAAATTAAAAATAATGGATTCCATACATAACCAAACACAGGATTGGTGCTAGTTTTGTTCATTTTATGAATTTTAAATAAATGAATGAATCAGTGCATACTTTATATATATTTTTGCAGAGAGAACTATAGCGTTGGGATACTTTAATTTCTCCATTGTATAATATAATTGTGACCATTACAAAAAAATAATAATGGAAAATACATTTTTATTAAACAGAAATTATTTAATATTTCAGTGACTCAAATAATCCCTAAATGTTTCTCTAAATTTTGGCAGCCATTTAGTAAGTAAAGTGATAAGGGTATCTCAATCTCCACATATTCTTTTTCATTAGAAAAACATTTTCATTTAAAATGTACTCACTTGTTACTTCCCATTTCACCACTTATTGATATAATTGTGAGCTCTTTAATTTCTCACATTATGAATGCCTGTCATATGTTGTACAGGTGATTTTTATTTAATATAAATATTTATTCAAAGCAAACCCTTCACCACTCACATAATACTTGCCACTAACATATGAATTGCAATCAAATAGATTGCTAAGTATGGATCTTTAGTTTTCAGGGTATATTTTTGTTATTGGTACTGACTTTATGTTGTAAGCATTTATGAATTTGACTGACTATTTTAGATATAAATAAGTTCAATTTGCTCAATGACTAAAGAGGGAATACATTCATTTATCTCAAAGAAAGAAGGGACAACAGTCAGTTCGCTTCTGTCTGTCTGGTCTTACCAGGGACATGATGTCATTTGAAAGCACACATAAGGGAACAAATATTTTGCTTGTATTCTGTTCTTAAAGGAGGCGAACATACATTTTAAAAGCCTATACTCTGGAGAGGTCTCAAGGAATCTTTGGAGAGCATAGTACAGGGAGAGTGTTGACAAGCCTCAGGGAGGTGACTCAGGGATGCGTCTTTAACAGATAATTGGCAGACCAGCGTTCCTTAAAGGGAAAGATGTTGTCAGGGAGGCTCCCTTCTCTCTGAATCTTCCCATAAAGTCGGCTTTCTTTTCATTAGAGAATCAATCTTATTTATGTTTAACCTTTTTATTCTGAAACATGACTCTGCTCTTTTTAAATCCCACTACCACATTTTGTTAAAGAAATGTATATGACTGATTCTGTGAAATTATTAAGATCTTATATAAACAGATAACCATCTACATTTGTAAATTAAAACCAGACTTATGTTGATATTAAATTATTCTGATTTACCAATTATGAAATTTGGGCTGCTCGGCTTTAGCCACTGAATGCATGAAGAATGTTACTGATGCAGGTCTGTCACAAATTTACACTCTAGAAAACTAGTCAAACATTTTAAATTTTATACATTGATATAATTCCTTCTAAAGAATCTAAATATTTTCTAGTGAAGTCCTGCACTTTGGCATTCATACTCTCATAGATGGTAGCTTGTGATGATACCAAATGATTTCTAAATTTATTGACAAATATGTAAATGATGTAAAAGCAAGTGTCTGATGATAGAAACAAAGAATAACTTACTTTCTTTACATTGCCATAGCTGTGATACTACAAGGGTATAAAACAAAAAAGAAACCTGGAAAGAAATTTACCATATTACAGAACTTGACAACTATACTAAATATCTAAAGTTAATATTTGATCTGAAGTAGGAAAAAAATAATTGGGCATATAGGCATTCCAATAGTAAACTTCCACATAAAGCCACATAGTACAAGTTCAAGCTGTCTTTCTTGTACTATTTTTCCTCTATCCTTACAGTATTTATAGAACTTAAGAGTCAGATTCTTCCATCCCTTGTAGAAACTAAAGCGTCTACAGAGGGATGATGGCGTATGCTCTACAGATGCACGCTGAAAAGCAGTTTTTAAGATGCAACATTCTCCGGGCCTAATTCAGTCACAGCAAACATGCCTGGCCGTATGTAGCAGAAGCCCGGCGCAATGCTGTGGAAGCAGCACGCTGATCCAAGACCATGTGTTCAAAGACATGGTGCCTGAATATGAAGTTCTAAAGAAGGTTAGCCATAAATACCACTCAGAGGAATGAGTTATTTCAACATACAACAAAGAGAGAGAGAGAGAGAATCAGCACCCAAAGCAGCCAGGAGTTCCCCCAAGACAACCATTTCTCCCTCATCACAGAGAACTCCTCGTGCTTCAAGTGACTCTTGATTCATATCCAATTAAAGAATGAATTTTAACTTTCTGAGATGGAAGAGAATGTTCACAACTGGCCTACTTCCACTGAAATGCGCTCAAATTTCATTTGTTTTCAACCAACTATTTTACGTGTTTGACTCTCACAAACTGCCAGAAGAGTCAAGAGGCAAAATAAAAGATTCAGCCATTACAGATTGCCTTTAAAATCTAGCCGTTTCTCTCAAAGCAGGATTGTGTCTTGCAATTAGAAGATGAAAATCTTTGGTCAAACATTACTATCAGGGCCTTAGTCTGATCTTTTGGATTTGCATGTCCGCATCTTGACTTACATGTTTCATTTGAAGAACAGACGGACACAGAATGAGGCTATTTG